CACAGAGAAGCTTCTAGTGATGCTCCTGTACAATCCCCTCCAAGTTTGATGAAGATGGGGTTTCAGACATCAAAGTTATATACCCGCAAAGTGGGCTGCCCAGGAAAGTGTCTTTCAGCAGCTGGCTTTGGGAAACCCACTATTCACCAAACTTGGAGAGATTGTAGAGGAGTATCACTAGAAGCTTCTCTGTGATTTTGGAGTCTCTAGGTGCTTGGGATAAACTTTCTTGGGGGGCTCTCTTTGTGGGTGTACAACTTGAACATCTGAAACCCAATCTAAATCAAACTTTCAGGGCTCATAGAGGAGAGTCAGAGGAAGCTTCCACGAAATGTTGGTGTCTCTAGATTCCTTGGGGACCATTTTATAGCCAAACAGATTGATGAATAAAAATCACTAAAAATGCATTGATCAGTATTCATTGGGGGCATTTATTCATATGAATATGATTCGACAAATTCACTATTTTTGAACAAATTTGGTGATTGGTTTTTTTAATTCATGCCCATCTCTAGTTTCATTTACTTGCTTTGACCACTGGAGATCAAATAATTTTATCTTCATTTTACCACTGTCCGTGGTTTCCCCTCCACTTCTTAGCTCAGTAGTAACATGCAGGCTTTTTATGCAGTAGAATCCAGGTTCAATTCCTGGTATCTTGAGGAACTGGAAAAACTACTTGATATATTGTTGTTGGTCAGTACAACAGTGATGAGCTAGATGAACCAAGGTCAAACTCCAGACAGGGCCGCTTCCTAAGTTCTTACATTTTATTTAGTGGGGAGAAATCCATTATGTGGGGAAAAGCCAGATGATCTGCACAATGCAGTTTGACTGCTAGTTGTAGTAGCATTCCATATGGAAGCATCTGTGGCCATCAGGACCCAACTACAGTTGTGCAGGGGTGGGGAAACAGAAACTAGAACTGCAAGAATGGTGTTTTGTGGACAAGATGGGGAAGGTTTTCCCCACCTAGATGACAGAATGTTTTTTTAAATTAATGTTTGGGGTGGCACTGGTGCCCCTGAGGGTGCTGGGGTACCACACTTTGCCTGTCTCTAGTCTGTATTAGCAATATTTGACATTAGCTTTCCCTGTTCTGATATTCTCCTGATATGTTGGCCATCAGTCTCCAACCATTATGAGTTGGTGTGGCCAGTGCTGGCTAAGAATGAATGATGTAGCAAACCAACATGTTCATAGACACTAGGTTGGAGAAGTCTGCCTTAGATTATGGAGTCAATATCATTTGCTACTTAGTGATTCCATTGTCAGAGTTTTTTAGAGACGGATACAGCGTTCTGAGAAAAAGAACAAAGGAAAGGCAGTTTCTGTTGGGGTTAGATTTATTACACTAATGTTGTAATCAAAAACAGCATAATAAATGGCTTTCCTTTGCAAACCTTCCCTCATTTCCTGTATGTTGCAAATAAATTTATTTTATTACGTTAATGATTATGTACATTTAGTCATAAAAATAGAGAAGCATCATTCTAATGGAATGCCCCTCCCATTTGCAAATGGGACTCCTAGGGAATCCTCAGAACCTGAAGAGGGGAAAACAAACTTTCAATTAATTTAAGTTAAATATTATCATTGCAGAATGATGATGTCATCCTACTTGCATTATGAAAAATTATACAAGAGTATTTCAGGCACTGTATATTTAGGGACTTGTTAAGGATATTGTTTACTCATATATAATGTCAGAGTGAGTGTATCTGGGGGCAGGAATAATAGATCAGTACTGAGGAGACCAGGATTCAGATCCCCACACAGCCATGGAGAATACTATGTGACCATCAGTCAGTTTTTTCCTCTTTCAATCTTACTGAGCCTTTTTGTTGTTTAGTTCTTTATTCGGTTCTGACTCTTCATGACCCCATGGACTCTTCATGACCCCATGGAGCACGCCAGGCCCTCCTGGCCTAGCTGAGCCCTATTTAGGATGAAAGTTTGCTTGGCTGAAATGGTGAGGGTGATTTTCAGACTTCAGATACGCTCTGTCCCCCTTCTAAGCTCAAGTGAGCTCACTTACAGTAGTCAATCACCGAAACACTGTTACACATGTTCAGTTGGGGATATAGCCTCAACATGCCAGAGGCTGGCACTATCATCCTTTCAGATCTACATACTTTCTGACTGAATATCTACATTAGAGTTATAGCTATGTATATAGTGAGGTGAGGAAAGTCCATAGGGTGCATGGTTAAACAAATTAAAATGATAATATAATTAGACCATTTTAAACCAGAAGCAGACGATTTCAATACCATTATCTTGGCCATTTGCTAGATCTTCTTTTGTACACATGGTATACAAATGTTGGCCACCAATCTCCAACAATTATGAGCTGGTGTGACCAATACTCTCTAAAGATGATGGCACTGTAGACTGACATATCTGTAGACACTAGGTTGGCGAAGCCTGCTTTAGATTATGGAGTCAATATCATTTACTACTTAGTGATTCATTTTTTATTATTATTTTAAAGAGAGGTATAGAGCATTATGAGAAAAAGAACAAAGGAAAGGCAGTTTACGCTGCACTTAGATTTATTACACTAATGTTGTAATAATAAACAGCATAATAGATGGCTTTTATCATTCATTCCCAAACCTTCCCCCGTTTCCTGTGTGTTTCAAATAAATTTATTTCATTGCACTAATATCAGGTACATTTAGTATGAAGTTGTAGTAATATTGAATTCCCTCACTATACTCATAAAAAAGAAAACAATAATTCTAATGGAATGTCCCCTTTTTGTTGTAAGTACTGTTTCCCTGAAAATAAGACCTAGAAAACATTAATTCTAATGGAATGTCCCCCTTTTGTTGTAAGCACCGTTTCCCTGTAAATAAGCCCTAATATGATTTTTCAGGATGATTGTAATATAAGCGGTACCCTCAAAATAAGACGTAGTTAAGTGAAAACCCTCCCTCCACCATTGTGCAGCATTGAGCAGCAACCTGAAGATGACATGACTGTAAAATAAAACATCCCCTGAAAATAAGCCCTAATGTGTTTTTGGAGCAAAAATTAATATAAGATCCTGCCTTATTTTCGGGGAAACATGGTACCCATAAAACGTTACCTCAGTATTGGGGTTTTTTTTTTATATGAGCCTTGTGGCGCAGTGGTTAAACAACAAAACATTACCTCAGTATTGGGTTTTTTAGATATGAGCCTTGTGGCGCAGTGGTTAAACCGCTGTACTGCAGCCAAAACTGTGTTCACGACCTGGGGTTCAATCCCAGGTAGCGGCTCAAGGTTGACTCAGCCTTCTATCCTTCCGAGGTCGGTAAAATGAGCACCCAGCTAACTGGGAGGGAGGGCAATGTGTAGCCTGCATAATTAACTTGTAAACCGCCCAGAGAGTGCTTGAAGTGCTATGGAGCCGTATATAAGCAGCACGCTTTGCTTTTGATCTTAATTACCATTTTAATGTAACACTTGTTTAATTCTTTTTAAATATTTGCATACATACTGTTTTTAGCTTTTGAATACTGTTTTAATTATGTAAGGTGCCTTGGGTCCTTTTGGAGAGAAAGGCAGGATAGAAATATTTTAAATAAATAAATGATTCCCTTGAGGCTTTCATTACTACCATTATTTCACTCTCACACCCTGCAATTATACAGAAGGTCTCAAGCTTTCAATGGTTTCTTACAAGATATATATATTCAGAGTACCTCTGACATAATTCACCATAAAACTCATTGTTCAAATTGTTGTCCATAGGTTTGCTTTATTATTTATTACTTCTTCTTTTTTTGTGGGTTTGTGTGTGTGTATGTCACACAGCACGGATGAAATGGAAGATGCCACTTTATGTTGGGATCCCTCCTCCTTGCAGACAAAACCATGTGGCATTTATTCTTCATAGCCATGTAAGTGAAAAACATTTTGAAGCCAGAAAACTTTGACTTTTACAGCCTGTCTCAATGCAGGGATTCTGCAACACCTCACCATGTTTCAAAATAATATTAAGCACAAATCTGTACAAATACAGTGGTGCCCCATTACGACAATCCAAACAGCTGATCGTCGGGTTTTCAAAATGGCTGCCAGCTGCTCAAAATGGCTCCCCGCTGTTTTTAGAAGGCATTTTTCGCTGCACAGGCACCCGAAAATGGCTACCCTATGGAGGATCTTCGCTGGACAGTGAGTTATTTAGTCCATTGGAACGCATTGAACGGGTTTTCAATGCATTTCAGTGGGATTTTTTATTTTGCTTGATGAGGATTTTGCTCTACAGTGATTTCACTGGAACGGATTATTCTTGTCAAGCGAGGCACCACTGTACTAATAACTAGAGATGGGGGTATTTGTATTCATATACAAATACAAATACAAATATTCCCCGTGCAGCTGGAATTAACGAGGGTCCAGCCCCCGGGGCCGGACCATCCACTCACACATCCACCACCCCTGCCTCCCCCACTCATCCTTCCAATCACTCCCGGAGCACTGTTCTCTTCCCAGTCAGCTAGCCACTCCTGGTAGAGGAAGGGAAGATGAGTCTTGCTGCAAGGCTGCTGAGTGGCTAGCCGAGCAGTGCTCCAGAGCAATTGGAAGGAAGAGAGGGCAGCCTCCACCACCGGACACATGAGTGGACAGTCCAGCCCCAGGGGCCAGACCCTCATTAATTCCACCTGTGCGGCGATATTTGTATTTGTATATGAATACCTTCATCTCTACTAATAACATTTAATTTAAAATGTCAAACACGTGATGGTGACTAAATCATTCTCCTACATCCAGTTTGATGCATTCTGGGAATGTTGTAGTAATAGCTCCTATTAGCCAGAATCTTATTCGTGTTCCCATACAGTTTGTGTATCTTGTCACATCTAATTGTATTAGTTGGAAAGGTACTGACAGCACATCTCAGTTGTACGCTTGGCCACAAACCAAACTGCACAACTGAGATGTACCCCAGATGCAGTTGGCCTCATCTATTAGCTGCAATTGGCCACAGCAAGTTACACAAAACTTACACAGACACCAATTGGATTATAGCCATGGTATTCCTTCTTTCCCCAAACAGTTGCTTCTATGGAGGGGGGCAGTCAAGATCAGGACAACCATTTTGGCTCTGAATCCACAAACTGCTGTTTACTTTCTTTGGTAAAACATACAGGCATGCATGACTGTACTAGTAAGTTTTACTAATGAAAATAAATGGAGGAGGAATAAGTGGACAAAATGGAAGAGAAGGAAATTTATCCCAAATCTCATAATTTGGTCCTGCTCTGAATCCTCGTTTGTGGTAAAACAAAAGAACATTATGAGTTTTAATCACAACTGCATTACACAAGATAGATGGGATAGCACTCTGACTTTGGATTTATTTTTTAAATGCAGTTCTGATAGCACAGATGTATTGAAATGTATGTAGCTTTTCTTGTCAATGATTCCCTTTTATCTACCAAATTTGGAAGAGTCGGATGCACATTGCTGTATGCTTAGCAGGATAGCAAAGTATGAATTCCAAAGGTCATCAGGAACTTAATATGTGAAAAAGAAAAAGAGAAGGATTACCTGGATTCTGGCCAATTCAGCCAAAATCAGGCAAAACAAGTCAGGTATAGTCCATGACACCGCATCTAATGACACAGGGCAGGAGAACTGAGAACATACTGTAGGCTGATGGATGTTGTCTCTAGTATACTACTAATGGTTTTTAATGAGAATTGGAGACCAAACCACTTCTGACATTGGGAATCTGAGTGATGCCAGATATGAGTGCATGCAAAAGATTCAAGGCCACTTGAGCATCTTTCTCTCAGAATAGTGTATGATGTGGTTGGTCTTAGTCAAATGGAGGAGCCAACTGGGAGGAAAGGAAAAAAGAATCTTGCAGATATTCGAAAGAAACAGTTAACAGGTGACAGACCTTTAGAAGCGAACAACAAAAGGTGAGTCAGGATTGTGAAAAAGATTCAATGCTTATTAAAAATCAGAAAGCGATGTGTATTCATGGACATGAAATGCTGCATAAAGAAACAAGCAGCCAGTAAACGAGCCATAACCCATATGTGCTTCACTTCAAGACAGAAGGGAATGGAGAACACATGGGATTTGCTGACAGAGAATGGGAGCCACTCCAAAGATGGAGATCGGAGCTGCATACTAGTGCAGGAAAGATTTTCAAGTGATTTTCAGAAGGGTATTTTAATCCTGAAGAGTTTCTCTTAATGGAATAGTCCGTGATAGTATCAATAGTGGGGGTTACTTTTAAATATAACCAGCTTCAATCATTCTTAATGTAGGCAGGTAGGTAGGCTCTATATCTTAGGAAGGCCAATGGAGGCGAGTCTGTTAGCTCTGACTCCCTCCAGTGCTGCTCTTCTCTACACTTTGAAGGTCCTTGTTGCAACAGAAAGCCTTCTGTGGGAAGTCTCTCCCTCTGGCAGTTCAAAACCCTGATTTTCCAGGACATTTTTCTTCAGAAGGCAACCCTGAAATGCAGGAATAGGTAGATACTGCCCCTCCAAATTCAACAGTTTAGGGAAGTGAAAATCCATGGATAAATCCAGATGTGTTAAGAGAGTCCTAAGAAATATCATGGGAAAGAACTTATTTCTGGAGTTCTTCACAGCTTGTTAGTGATATCTAATGTGTCGCGTTTGGCAGAAGTTAGTGAAAACGTAAGGACACCAAGTCCTTGAAAGCTTTTGCAAGAAATGTAGTATGTAGGTACTGGACAAATGACAAGAAGAAAGTAGTAGGAGTAGAAGAAATATTCTATACCACTTCTCATTTTAACAAACTCCAAAGTGGTCTACAACAACTCTATAAAAGAATCCAATTGAAATACAGTAATATAATATGTAAGACAGGCCCAAACAGCCCTTGGTTGCCAAGGTAACCAGTGCAGATCTTTAACTCAGGTGTAATATGCATGTGGTAAGGCAGCCTAGTCAAAACCCAAGGACTCTGCCAGATGTAGCATCTATTCCACCTCATTTTGCCACCTGTTATTGTTGCTGCTGCTATTGCCTTGTGCCAGGAGAACACAGGATTTACCAAAACTGACATTCTCTTAAGGGCTGTACTTCCACTATTGTTGACTACATTTGCGTGCTTCTGTCTGCCTTCTTGACTACCCTGTTTCCCCTAAAATAAGACCTAACCTGAAAATAAGCCCTAGTATGATTTTTCAGGATGCTCATAATATAAGCCCTACCCAAAAAGTAAGCCCCAGTTAAAATTTGCTTTCAGCTACTGGTGACTCACAGAGCTCATCCTGAAATCCTGGTGGAGGCTGGTTCCCCCTTCAGTCCATAAGCCCCCTATGCTTTCAACCATGGATTTGAGAACAATAAAGATTTCCAGTAATTTGGGCTGGGAAGATAAGGCCTCTCCAAAGATGAAAGAGGATTACTCAGGATTTCAAAGAATAAAAAATATACTACAGACCAATGGATTCCATAAATGTCATTTATATTAACCTTGCTGTGTAATGCATGTTAAATTAATATATTACTAATTGCTTTTATTTGTTTGTATTCACAGCTCTACATCTTTGGTGGAGTAAATGAAAAAGAATTCAATGATCTCGTGGCAATGAAACTGATAAATCCTTCAGACAGACAGCCTAGTAAGTTTGTTCTGAGTTTTTGATAATCCACAGTTAACCTGAAGCTCATTTTCATTGTGCTGCCTCAATTTCTGCCCTTGTGAGGTACCAGTTATGGGCTGCTAGAACTTCTAGACTGACAAACTCATATAGTTTTAAACACATAAATTAATTATCTGGAAGCTGATTCATGGCAACTGGACTTTCTTGTTAGGTTGAAACGGTTCGCTACTCATCCAGGTAGCTTCTTCAGTCTGAGTTGTTAGGCGATCCCTGATACATCCTCCACGTTGGTTTCTCTTCCCCCTGGTATGAATAGGCTCCTTAGAAGGACAAAGGACTGGGGTGAAGGATAATGCCACTTCTGCAGTCCTTTGTCCTTCTAACGAGCCTATTCAGACCAGGGTGAAGTGAAACCAATGTGGAGGATGTAAAAAGGATCTCCTACCAACTCTCCTCAGACTGAAGCTACTTGGGTGAGTAGGAAAATGTTTCAACCGAACAAGAAAGAAGTCCAGTTGCCATGACTCAACTTCCAGATAACCACATCTAGATGACTGAGACTCTTCACAGACATAACAGAATTATTTAACAGTAAAATCCCATGGGGTTTACTCAGAAAACACAGATAAGTAAATATTATTGATTTTCTGCAGTGATGCACTGGTTTTACAGCTTAGTTCACTCTTGCACCCCCAAACTAACCATACCTGAACAATTTTTAGGTATTACAGTAGTACCTTGGTTTGCAAACGCCTCGGTTAACATAATGTTTGGTTTACAAATGGAAATCCATTAAAAATAATACCTTGGTTTACATTTTTTGTTTGTTTGTTTTGGTTTACAAAGAAAGTTTCCCCAGGATGCATTGTGCCTGGAGGTTTATAGTGCTGCCATGTTCCTACAGCAATCCACGTTCCGGTTTACAAATTTTTTGCTTTACATAATCTCCAACAGAACGCATTCGTTTCATAAACCGAGGTACTGCTGTAGCTGTGTGCTATGTGAACAGGAATACAAATCTGTGTCCTGCTTAGGTTATTATAGGAAGAGTCTAGGTGATCCTGGCTTTACTGTTTTCAATCAAGACACCAGTCATCACTAATCATAAAAATCACATTCTGGTGAGTTCTCTAGTTTCAGGTAATTTGCAATTGTCCAACTTTTTAATTTTCTTCCAGACTCAAAGGAAAAGTTACCCACAACCTCCCTACTCACCCTGCTTCATTGCTGATTATGCTATGCTGACTTCACTCATGAATCAATTTAATTCAGCCTCATAAAACCGATTTCAATGACTTAGATTTCTACAGATTGTAAAGCTAAGTTAACCATACTTTAATAAATAACATCAGATAGATTTGTTTGCAGCAGCAAAGAAGCCATCTAAATTTTTGTTACCACACCCCCTGCAAGCGCAACACATCCACTGTGTGGGTGCGACATGCCCACCACGCAAGCATGACACACCCACTGTGCATGTGCAGGGGGGTGGAGATCTGTATCTGTGGCCCAGTTGCAAGCGTGACACACCCACCACGCATGTGCAGGGGAGTGGAGATCTGTATCTGTGGCCCAATTCCGGCAAGCCCACAGACCAGCATGGGGCTGCAGACTGGAGATTGACGACCCCTTATCTAGAAGATGTAAAAAGTAATTTTGCTACCCTGACTCTCCACAGACAATTAGGGGTTCAGTTGGGGCTGCAGACTGGAGATTGAGGACCCCTTATCTAGAAGATGTAAAAAGAATAATTTTGCTACCTTGACTCTCCACAGACAATTAGGGGTTCAGTGGATTCTCAAAGGCTTTCACAGCTGGCATCCGATGGTTGTTGTATGTTTTTTGGGCTGTTCGGCTGTGTTCTGGAGGTTTTTCTTCCTAACATTTCACCAGTCTCTGTGGCCGATATCTTCCGAGGAGAGGAATCAGAACTCAGACAGAGTTCTAGCTCCTGTCCTCTGAAGATGCCGGGCAAAGAGACTGGCAAAACACTAGGAAGAAAAACCTCCAGAACACAGACAAACAGACAAACAATTAGGAGTTCAATTTCCAATATCCTGAACTGGTTCTTAACCCAAGTACTGAGGAACACCAATTAGGAGTTCAATTTCCAATATCCTGAACTGGTTCTTAACCCAAGTACTGAGGAACCGCAGGCACACTGTTGGGAGTCAGCCACTGTGTGGGCTCCTCCCACTACTTTGATGAGAGGTTGATATGATTTTCCCCATGCTGGGCATATGTCTATAAAGCTCACCCAAGATCCCTTATGGGACTGCCCCACAGGTGAGTAGGCACAAGTTTCCACTTATGCCTAAAATGTATCCAGCCCAATGTTTTCAGTTTTCATGTGGAAGCAGTGACAGAAAAATAAAAGCATAACATGTCACATGATTTGCTATGTGGAAGGCAAAAATTCCATGCTGAATAAATTGTTATTGTTACATGCTGCCAAATCACTTCCATGTTATGGCGATCTTGAGTTTTTGTGAGATGTTCAATGAGTGATTTACCATCAGAAACAATTTTACATATCTATACTGACACCTGTAACCTGAATAAAAGAAAAGGCTAATGTCTGTATATGACGTTTTAGTGGTATCACTCACCCTTATCTTTTGACTTGTGAATAAAAGAAAAAGCTAGTGTCTGTATATGACATTTTATTGGTATCACTCACCCTTATCTTTTGACTTGTAACCTTACTTTTCATATTGCATACACAAAAGTGAAACATATTTGGACACCATTACTGATACTGTGCAAACATTATATAGCCATCCATTGGCCAACATCCAATTGTGGCAAATGGCAGTGATCAAATCTACCTAAAATTCCCAAAGCACTAATTTGAGAATTCATGCAGGCTTGACCCTTGACACTTATCCTTCCTGAGTGGGCTGTTCAATCATATTATTCCCCGCACTCCACATCCCCAATATTTCTATATCGCCATCCATAGGCCAACATCCAATTGTGGCAAATGGCAGTGATCAAATCTACCTAAAATTCCCAAAGCACTAATTTGAGAATTCATGCAGGCTTGACCCTTGACACTTATCCTTCCTGAGTGGGCTGTTCAATCATATTATTCCCCGCACTCCACATCCCCAATTGGACTAGGATATCTGAAGGGCCACCTTCTCCCGTGTGAATCTGCTCACATATGAAGATCCCCTGTCAGAGGTCATTCTGTGCATCCCATAATACTCAGAAATATGCCACAATGGAACCAGTAAAAAGAACATTTTTAGTGGCTGCACCCAGCCTCAGAATTCCCCCTAGACAGTTGTCTTTTTTACCTCCTTACAATAGCTTTTCATTGGATGGATGGTCAAAACATTTTGGAGACTTCTGAGCCATAACCAGTGCTCTCTTTTGGAGTATTTTATTGCTATGGTCACATTATGTTTGTTGTTTGAATTTTCTTTGTCTTCTTTCGCTCTTTGCTGCTTTAATGTTTTATGGTTATTTGATTATATTTACGTACTGTTATTAAAGTTTTTCTTATTGTAACGTACACAGTTATATTGCGCTTGTTGTAGCATGTAACTTGTTTGAATTTTCTTTGTCTTCTTTCCCTCTTTGCTGCTTTAGTGTTTTATGGTTATTTGATTATATTTACGTACTGTTATTAAAGTTGTTCTTATTGTAACGTATGCAGTTAGTTATATTGCGCTTGTTGTAGCATGTAACTTTTAAATAAAAATATTTTAAAAGCAGATGCAAACTAGAGGGAAAAAAACACCAACAAATGAATGTCTATTGGGCAAATATCCAGTCCTCCATGAATGTTGAATGATAAAGGGATTATCAGAGAAACGGGTTCTAAAAACTTATTACTGTCTTGCAAATAACACAATAATTTTTGAACAGCACTTTGAATCTGGAAAGTGCTATAAAATTGATTGATTAATTATTAATAAATTGAGATTAGTTTTGAAATCCATTACAGAACCAAATGTGTTTCCCAATATTCTCAGGTCAACTACATTTTACATACAAATTTTAAAAACTGCCAGTTTTATTTCGTTGGGAACATTAGAAGTGGATTTCTGTTTAGAAAGTTTCACTGCTCTCCCATAATAAATTAGGAAAAATTAAAAATGTGTGCACCGTTATGTTGGCACAGTGGATCTAAGATGCAAATAATATCAGTTGGATTTGAGGCCTTTCTATGATGCATCAGTGAAAATCATTTATGGGCTTACTGAAGCCCATTAGCACTTCTCAAAGCATACACTCCTGAATAATAAATTTCATTATTCAACCAATATAAAAAAGACTAATAATGAATTAGCCCACAGCAAGGCAGATTAGCTCTAGGATAGCGCTACAGCAAGGCTGTAATTGTATACGCACTTAGGTACTAATATCTCACAGTGAACTGAATACGACTTCTGAGAAACTATACAGTATATATAGGACTGCACTATAAATATAAACAAGAACCAACAGCTGCATGTAAAATTCTTACTCATTAAGTAAAATAGAGCATGAAAAATCCTCCAGTACTACACAAGGAAGAACTTGATCTAGGTGGTTCTTTTTCTGCACTATCTAATGAATCCACATCTCCTCTGTATTGAAAAAGTAGCTAATGTAAATAGAGTGAAGTTATCACCTGTTTAATAATAACTGTATTGTACTCATATATTTTTATTGGATGAAAGAATCAATTACAATTTATATATTTCTAACAAGTTACTTCCAGTCTCTGGATATACAGTAGATGTTTTAAGTCCCTCCCCAATCTTTAACCTCAACATATACGTACCTAGACAAATGTGCATTAGCTTGCAGACTAACAACACAGTGATGTATACCTACTCAGAAATAAGGTCAATTCTTTTTAGTTTAGGGTTTATTCTGAAGTAAATGCATATGGGTCATACTCCATTAGGTCTACTCAGAATTAGACTTCAGAAGCCTTCAGAAGGAAAGAGTAAAGGTTCAGTGAGATTCAGGGTGCAGCTACATTGACAAATAATATGGAACATATTTTAGGATTGGGACAGTCTTGTTTATATTATTTTCTGTTGACAATGTGATGTAAAAATGAGAATCAGCCTAGAGTTTTCCCCTGTACTGTACTTCTGTACTATTTTCCTCCACCACTGGGGCCTCTCCTTTTTTGGAACTGAATGCATTTACATCAGTTCAGATAGTGTGATAACTTGCACCCACTTGGAAGGGTTTGTAGCTGTTGTATCTGAAGCTGTTCCAGCTGGCTACAGCAGCAGTGAGAGAGGCAGGGCAGCAGAGAAAGTAGGTGCTACTTTGAATCCTCTGTTCTTCACACCTGGTGGCTGGGTCAGCTTCCATCTCCCCATTTCTTTTTCTTTTCTTTTAAAGGCTTGCTAAATAGCACTAGGGCAGCTAGGTGACCAAAGGCAGGGGTGAACAAGGACTGGGCAGAAAGAGAGGTGGAAGTTTTAAAGTAGCTGTGGTTTAACTAAGCCTCCTTCAAATCTGGACAGTCAGTGTAGATTGGCCTTAAAACCTCCTCCTCTCTCTCTCTCTTCACAGTGGATCCTTTCACATTTTCACTATTGTCTGGTTGCACCCTTATTCACAGGCAAGGTATAAGAAGCAAGAAAACATTGTTTTTCCTTTTCTCACCCATTAGCAGCAGAAGCCAATCCCTGTATGTACTTTAATTTTGACTGCCAATTTATTGAAAGTGCATCATGTACATAACTACAGCTGCATCCACTGGGATGTGATACACTCTACATTTTTTCTTAATGTTTCTATGACAGCTAAGTCATCTTCTTTTTAGTGAAAACAAGCTGCTGAATTAATAGATGTTTCTGTTCTTAATTTTAGTAATGAAGGAAATTTTTTCAGAATTGGGAATACAAGGAATAAGTAACAGGTATTGTTTCTTACATTGTTTTTTCCCTTCCCAGAAGGTGAGGGACTTGTTATACCGTTTTCCCTCTTAGCATTTCATACCTTTTATTTCTTTTTGTATCATTTTTTTTCAGCTTATATGATAATGTGTTCATATAATAATTTCATATATAATTTCAAACTTATAATTCATCCTGCATCTCATATTACTAACATCCAATGAACATGAAACTCAATCTAACACAACTGTTTTACCAATTTCCAACTTTTCCATGATTTAGTTTACAATTCTAGGTGGTATTCCCTGGAAATAAGCCCCATTGAACCCCATGAAGCTTATTTTGGAGTAGACCTGAGCTGAGAATAATAATTTATATATCCAGTATTGAGAGAGAGAGAGAGGGAGAGAGGGAGAGGGCGAGGGAGAGGGAGAGGGAGAGGGAGAAATTCCTGGGGCAGTTACAATATAAACTAGAAACCTCCATCCCCAAGAAAAAAATCCAATATTTAAACAGTAGGAAACATAATATAATAGTAAGATATATTCAAAAATAATTTTAGGATATTCAGAGATTGTGTCAGAATAGTACCCAGCTAAGGAAATAAAACACAAACCTTAAAAACCATCAGCACCTTAATTCTAGCACATTCTCATTTTTACATAAAACTACTAATAGTCAATGATATGCTGGCAATGTCCTCTCAAGGAGCTCATGCTTTAAATTTTGATCTTTAAAAATTATTTTCTGTACAAGAGAAACCCAAAGCACTGTTGCAGAACTCAGTTGTTGTCTCCAGTAGTTTGGTCTAGAGATGGGGATGAATATTAAAACAAATCACTGTTTTTTACAAATATACCCGATTCATCATATATTCATCAATCCATAATTGTCAAATTTTAAGTCCCAACTAATACAACTTGATGAATATTTTCCCAGTTTTATTCATTGATTCTTCAATATTTGTCTATAGTTATCCTTTTGGAGGCCTCTCTATGCCATCTCTGAGCTTGCTGGTGCCAATCAGCCCCCCACAACCCTTTCAGCAGCGATATTGGCTGCCTAACATGCCAATCCAGGATCTCCTGATGGAACAGAGCTTCTGATTGGCATGCCTCAGTGCCCAATGGGGCCAAACTCTACCTCAGTGACAAATACAGTGGTGCCTCGCAAGACAATGTTAATTCGTTCCACGAAAATCGCTGTTAAGTGAAAACATCGTCTTGCGAAATGCATTTTCCCATTGAAATGCATTGAAAACCTGATAATCCAATGGGAATGGATTGTCATCATAAAGCGAAAATCGCCATAGGAAACATTGTTAAGCGAAACGCGTTTCCCAAGCGAAGACAGCCGTCTAACGAAACAGCGACCATTAAAAGACCCGTCTAGCGAAGCAAAACCAAGCAGTCAAAAACATTGTAAAGCAAAAAACAGGGACCTAAAATTTCATCGTCTTGCGAGGCAAGGTCCCTAACATCGTAAAGCGAAAATCACCCATAGGAAACATCGTTATACGAAGCGCAAGATCGCTCCGAAAACCTCATCGTAAAGTGAATTTGTCGTTATGCGAAGCAATCATCTAGCGAGGCACCACTGTACTTCATTGCCTCCAGGGTACAAACTCTACATCACTGACAAATGTGATGTTGCTGAAGACAAACTCTACCCCAGTGCCTCATCCCTCTGTGTGCCTGCCAGAGACAAATTAACTCCCTGAATGCCATCTGCTTCTGTGCCACATAGTAAACTATCCCTGGGGGGGGGACCCAATTTGTGGGTAAATAACGTAGATGTCCGATATCCAATTTTCACCAAACTTGGCAGGCATATTGGGGAAAGACATAGGAAGATCCGATGTGATTTAGAATTCTCTAAGTACCTGGGGACTATATAATTCAGGAGTCCATTATCCAATGTTCACCAAACTTGCTGGACTTGTAGAAAACCGTCTTAGGAAGCTTCCCTGCAAATGTGGTTTCTCTAGCTGCTTGTTTTTCACTTTTTCACATTTAAAATTTTATAGCATTTTAAAGTGAAAATGAATTGACAAATCAATTCATTGATTCATCAGTGAATATTCGTAAATTTGTATTTGTTGATTCATTAAACTTGATGAATCATGACTCACAATGAATCACCATTTTTTCTATTCATCCCCATCTCTAGTTTGGTCCTACAAAGCCAACAGGATCTCAGCAGGATGAGCCAGCACCACTTTGCATGATGGGCAGAGTCTGCATACTGGAGTTTTAACACAGTCCCTGCTACCCTTTACTTCAGTCTGACTGTCTAACCAAGTCTCAGGGTGCTCGTTAGAGTCTCAGGCAATACAAGTCTCCATTCAGGGAGACAATCTCAGGGTGGAAGGCAGTGGAGGAGGAGAGAGTTTGAACTTCTTGTCAAGTGACTTTAAATGCTAAGAACCCATTTCCATCTACTGTATATCTAGCTGGCACAAGGGCTTATTCTCTCAGCACGATGCTCTTTTTGTGTTGCACTTACACAACACTGTCAGATAGAAACACCAAGAATAAGTGTAGGAGACTGGAGAGAGCGCCATTTGCCCTCATTATGCAATTAGGAAAAAGACAGCACATAGAAACAGCATCACAACTCACAACCTTCTTGTCAAACGAACCCTGGCAGCAGTAGGGAAACAAAAACTCACTGTGGGCTGCTACTGAGTTTTCTCCAAATCACAGTAGCGATGCTGGACTTGGAAAAATTCTACATGTAGAGGTGGGCGAGAATCTCGGTGCTGCGCATTCCCTTATCCCGCCTCCTGGGCCAACAGTTCACTCACCAGAGCGCACTCCTCTCCTCTTCCTCTTCAGTTATTCAACTAGTCCCCAGTAGGGGCACAGGTTTGTCTGTCCTGCCTCCTTGTCTAAGTGGACAATCAGCCAAGGAAGCAGGCCAAAGAAGCCTGTGCTCCTGCCGAATAACTGGTTGAACAGCTGAAGAGGAGGAAGAGAGAAGCGCGCACCAGCTGGTGAGTGGGTGATCCAGTTGGGGAGGCAGGAGAAGGGAAGACACAACATCTGTGGTGCTGTGTGTACGAACTGGTGCAAACCTCTGACCCAAAGTTCATGCCCATCTCTATCCATACATCATATGTGTGACAGGTAACACTGCTCTGGATGTGAGCTATTGTATGGACTGGTCACAGCCACTATAACTGTTTACTGCATTTTGTAGCCTGACTGACTGCCAGTTCCCCTCCCATCCCCAATATCACCACATCATCTGACTGAATAGGTTTCACCCAGATTCTGGATGTTTTTACTTGCATTCCCCTTGTGCTGGTTTCCATAGTCAGTTGATCTAGTTGCAATTCTGGACCCTTGCCTGCCATGTCCTGTGACATCATAACCTTTTGTCCTTCTGATATTTTGGGAATACAGTGTTGCTTTTCACATTCTCTGTATTGATTTCATTGTTTTTAGAAAAACAGTATTTCACTTTCTCTGTTTGACTGATTTGTTGTGCTACTTTTCTGTTTATTAGATTGTTTGCATTTGTTTGTTTTATTGTATTGCAGAAATAAATGCGTGCATAAATGGAACTGTTCACATGAGCTAATCAAAGGGCTCATTCAGAAGGGCATTTGCCCCGTCTGGTGTGTTGCTCTTTTTTTTTCAATAGCTAAACTTTTTAAATAGCCAAACTGGTGGTATACTCACAGACAATCATGGCAAGATGCCCATTTCAAGTTTTACTACTTACGAAACAGCCAAATTGGAAATCAACTATAAAGCAGAAAAAAAAAACTTGTGTTTAAAGCATAATATGATAGTTGAACCTATACCATCAAAAGCAAAGAAATTTAGATCACAGGACATGCACCCCTGTCTCTAAACATGGTCAAATTGATGCACCTATTTTGTACCTTATGTTACACCATTATATACACATTATAGCATAATGCCACTAATAACCCATTCCTTATATAGCTTATTACTATTCATTGGAAGAGCTGAAATAAAACACAAGCATTTACACACAGGTAATTTCAGCAGAGTCCTATGAACAGGTACATAAACTTGTACATCTTAACATAGTGACGAAGTTTGACTGTGTCAGAGAAGCTAAGAGCAATGGCATCAGGAAGCTAGACTCGCTTATGAGTCAGGAGGATGTCTAGCAAGATCACTCAAGCTGAAATGGTGAAAGCTGTGATACCACATTAAGATGCACCAACCCTGTTGACATCAGCAGAAGAGAATGGATAATTCCAACAATAATGGAAACAGAAAATCTTCCGGAGGACAGCTACTAGGCAGTAGCAACAACTGTAATTGAATGTGACACTAGTGGACTTTTTTTTTCAGATTATGGCAATGACATTTAAAGTAACTTTTATTAATACTGCATAGAAGGAGGTTATGGTAAACTACTGCTAAATGTTCCTTGGCTTGAAACTCTATGATGAGACAATCTAAAATGAAACCAGAGAGTGTTGGAAGATGAGACTCCTGGTTCAGTTGACACTCAATCAGTTACTAGGGAAGAACAAAAGACAAGTCTAAATAGCACTGTCACTAGTAACATGACTAGATCAAAGCTAAAAGGAAATCTAGTGGCCAGCATACGCAGAGATAAAAGGAAAGTCTGATATTGTACAATACATACAGTCCATGTAAATGGGAAACCATAAAGCAAGAAACTGTTTAAACTTTGCAATGTTTGATGTCAGTGACCTAAAGTGGACTGGACTGGGACATTTGCAGTCAGATAATTACAAAAAACTTTACTCTGGAAATGACAAACTCAAAAGAAATGGAGTGCCGGTAGCTCTAATACTGAGGCAAGAGATAGCACAGGCAGGCACTATAATACAAAGTCTGACTGAATAATATCAGACTCTTGGAAAACCTATCAGCATAATTGCCACTCATGTCTGTGTTCCAGCTACAGATGCAAAAGAAGAAGATATAGAAAGTTTTTATTCAAGTGTCCTAGAGTAAACTAATCACACACCAAAGCAGGATATGCTGATAATAGGTAACTGGAATGCAAAAGTAGGAAATAAATCAGAATGAGATATTTTCATAGAATTGGCCCAGGAGTCAGAAATTAAGCAGGAAACTCATAAAATTCTGTGACGCCAACCATCTGTTTATTGAAAATACATACTTCAGGAACCAAACAGATGATTGTACACATGGACATCACTGGACGAGCAGTTGAGAAATCAAATGGACTTGTGTAATTGGATGTAGTAGATGGAGAAGCCATACTCTCTTTGCCAAATCAAGATCATGAGCAAATTGTGGTATTGGCCAAGAATTACTGATATCAAAAATTAAAGCAAAGTTTTAAAAAACATTAAAGGATCATAAAGCCTAAATATAATTTAACCAGTTCTCATTGATTTAAAGTCTGCATAAAAAACAGATTTGCACTAATAAACTCAATTTATTATAAATCAGAAGAACTGTGGATTGAAATCAGAAACATTGTTATGGAAAAATGCAGAAAGATTATTCTTGTCATTAAAAGAAAAGCCTAGGTGGAAGATGGAACACATTCTTCAAACTGTGAGAAGCATGTGAGAAGCAGAATCAAAAGATAACAGGGAAACGTACTATCTAATCAGGATTAAATGAAAGGTGAAAACAATATATTGAAGAACTATACAGAAGAGATAAAAAGCATGAAAAATTCCTTTGAAAAGGAACTTTGTGATGGAGAACCTGCAGTTCTGGAAAGTGAAGTGAAAGCTCCTCTAAAAGCACTTGGAAGAAATAAATCACCAAGGTTAGATGGGATACTGATAAAACTATTCTAAGCTACTGAGACCAAATCAGTGAAACTCCTAACAAGAATAAGCCAACAAATGTGGATAACACAACCACACTCATTCACAAACTTGTATCTTAGAGGGACAGATCCTGTATACTACAAGATCTGATTAACCAATCTGCCCCATATAGGGTATCAATATGCTGCTTACAGTTTTCTCCCAAGAAATGTTCCAGGATCACATTTTCTACCAAAAACTAATCTCTCCAAGGGAGAGGATTGAACATTCAAACTTTCACTATATAATTGCCACTGACAACTGCCCACTTGGATAAAAACCACAAAAAGAGATCGCAAGTTTTCAGAAGCTTGCAGGAGTGAGTGATAGAATGGTAGCATCAATGAATGATAGCTGTTGCCAAAAGATTACCAAAAAGAAAAAAGAACAGTCTTCACTATTCGTTTCCTTAGGAGAGGTAACATAGGAGCCATATAATACTGTTATTTATTAGAATTATTTTTTCAGCTCAGCTATTCCCAGCATATATAGATGTAACATGTTCTGCAAAACTATGATTCCCTCAAGCAGCCCGTTATTTAATGTCCAGTATTCAGTCATGTGTGCAACTGGCATCTATAAATGAAGACTGGACATTACATATCAGTGAATTCTAGTCACCCCCCCCCCCCCCCCTATAGACTAATCCTGAATTAACTTTTAATAACTTGTATTTGAACGTACAGGTTTACACCCACCAAAATCCCCAAAGTGAAATATGAATTAACAGACTCCCCTTTGGTGACTGAATCAGTTTCTCCACCACCTCCTGTTCCAGTAAGTACCTTATTTCAGTTTTGCTATATCGTGCGCTTAACATTTTCTGAGCCTAATACCAGAGCTTTGGTGTATAAGAAAACCTAATTCACCTCACAGCTAAGCTGCTGCAGGTTGGCAGGATAGGTTTCATGCTCCAGTGCTACACCTCAAATATACTGTGATCAACAAGGCAGAAGCAAATATGCCAGATCCCTTGGGACTGGTTCTTTTTTGTACCATGCATATTTCATAGTAATTAAAGAAAGACTTCCTGCTGCCAGATGGATTTGTCATTTGTGTCTAGGATTTCTCCTTTGAAGGTTTTCTAAGTGTTTTTCCTCCCACAGGAAATATCTTGTTGAAAACATGGGAGAATTTCCTACATTGTACCTGGGGAAGAATAAGGAAAGTCTGTCCCCTTTTTCAGAGAGAAAGGTTTAATAACAGACCACCACCTCACTCTCCCCCTCACCTAGGCCAGCTCATTGTTAGTGATCGACAGGTGGCTTGTCTGTCTCAAGTAGCAGATTTAAGGGTATGACAAACATTTATTATATTTTTGCGTCCAGTAGCGTAGGAGCAGGAGGAGTGCAATGTTTTTGTTTTGTTTTTGCTATCTCTGATCCACTCTCCCTCACCTCCACTCATTTATTGGCAGTGTGGCTTTTGCCTGGCAGAAAGGTAGAGGACAATTAACAGCAAGGACAGATGCTGCTTCCTGTCCTACACAGAATCCACTCTGCAGCTTTTGGCACTGTTGTATGTGTTTAGCATTAAACTAGAACTGTGTGGGAAGTGTTTCTTTTTTAAAAGGCTGTGTATGTGTATAATCACTATATTAACCCCACAGTAGATAATATATGGTGCACCTAAGCACTGGATATAATAAAATAATTCCAATCCACACTCATGTCTATTTTGATGAAGAGTTGTATATAATTGTTTTAAGCAAACAAACATATTCAAAGATATATAACCACAATTGCAGCTTAATTGTAGATAAATTGGCTAGTGATCTCACTTCTACCTTTGTGCAACTTCAGCAGATGCATACTATTTGGTGTTTCAGAGAACCAGCAATCCTAGTGAGGGCTGATGGCAGTTGGACAGCTGTAGGGCTACATTTTGCCCAACCCCCGTTGTAGTATCACCTAACAAAGTCTAGGCTTCCAGTAGGGTCTCTTTGGTGGTGGCCTCTATGCTGGCCTTTGTCCTGGAAATTAGATTGGTGCCAGCATTGACCTGATTTTAGTACTTCAGACTTTTACTTAGACAAGTGGTTCCCAACCTTGGGTAACCCAGGTGTTCTAGGACTGCCACTCCCAGAAACCCCAGCCAGTACAGCTGGTGGTGCAGAGTTCTGGGAATTGCAGTCCAAGAATACCTGGGTCACCCAAGATTCAGAACCACTGACTTTGATCATTGGATCTGTATATTAAAGTGCCAAAGCAGGACTGTAGCTGAATGTTAAGAAGACAAAAATCATGACTACTGAAGATCTACAAAACTTTAGCATTGACAATGAAGAAATTGAAAGAGATTTTGCATACTTTTGTTCAATCATCAATACAAATGGAGCCAGCAACCAAGAAATCAGAAGACTGAAGAGATTTTGCATACTTTGGCTCAATCATCAATCCAAATGGAGCCAGCAACCAAGAAATCAGAAGACTGAGACTTAGAAGGGCAGCGATAGAGGAATTAGAAAAGATAATCAAGAGTAAGGATATGTCACTAGAGACCAAGACCAAGATAATCCACACTCTTGTATTTCCAGTCACCATGTACAGACAGTGAAGAAAGCTGACAGGAAAAAATGATTTGTTTGAAATGTAATGCTAGAGAAGAGCTTTGTGGATACCCTGGACTGCCAGAAACAAGTGGGTCCTAGATCAGCCATTCTCAACACAGGGGCCACATGGCCTTCTGAGGGCCCCAACACACTTGGAGGGGTCCACAGACTGCAAACATTTTTTCACACACCACCTTATAAGGATTGTTAGGAAGCTTATACAATCCTGATTTGGCCTATATAGCTCTCATATTATGTTTATGGTCATGGCCAAAAAAAGTTTGTGTCAGGGGCCACATGACCTTCTGAGGGCCCCAACACACTTGGAGGGGTCCACAGACTGCAAAATTTTTTCACACACCACCTTATAAGGATTGTTAGGAAGCTTATACAATCCTGATTTGGCCTATATAGCTCTCATATTATGTTTATGGTCATGGCCAAAAAAAGTTTGTGGTTGTCCTACATCATACCAAGCCTCACTTATCTCTGGAGGCAAAAAAAAAAGTAGAAATGGAGACTATCCTACTTTGTGAACATCATGAGAAGGCAGGTGTGGCGTTCACCCTCGTGGCCCCTGCTTGTTGTGAAAATCATGAGAAGGCAGGTGTGGTGTTCACCCTTGTGGCCCCTGCTTATTATGCCCTCACAAAGGCTCACATCGTTTTCTCTTTTCGCTGCCACCACTTTGTCACATCCACCCAGAGTCCCTGTTTAATCTCCCTTAAACATAAGTTCACCCTCTGGATGCGTTTCCACCTTACACACTGCCACCAGGTATTATTTACCTAATACCAATTCTGTATTTCAGACACATGTGCTGCCGAGTATAACAGGTTTATTGACTGTATTTCAGACACGTGTGCTGCCGAGTATAACAGGTTTATTGAACTTTTGAGTTTGAGAATCAGAGGTTTAAATTACAGATGCTCTTTTATTGTCATGTAAATCACAATGGGTAAATCACAGATGCTCGGTATCATTCATTAAATAGGATTTGTTTATGCATTGGTTTGATGGTACTTTTATTCAGAACAACAATATACTTTTACTAATTATCTATTCTCTATTACTTATAACTCTTTCTCTATTCTCTTTATCATTCCAACTGTTCAATCTATGTATTAACCTTCTCAATTTACTCTCCTAACTCTCCCTCTCTAATTCCTGACATCTTCCTTCTCTCTCTAACTCTTAACTGTCATTTTTCACTCAACTGTCCTTATTGACCCCGTCCCTCCTGCCCTATCATTGGCTCCCCCCTTTGAAGCTTTCATGATGGACAGACAGGAGTGATGTCATGTGTTGGCATTTTGCCACAGGAGGTATGTCTGGAAAAAAACAATAATGTTGAGAAAGATGGGTGGCAGCCAGAAAAGAGGAAGATCAAACCTGAAGCCACAAGCGTGAGTCAACAAGAGCTGAACTGGGCTATTGAGGACAGGACATTTTGGAAATTGGTCATTTATAGGGTTGCCATAAGTTGGAGATGACTCAGTGGCACTTAACAACAAGAAATAAAGTGAGGTAGCTGATGGATACTGCATATGGAAGTTCTGATAGTGATTGGCTGCTGTGCATATTTATTATTTTTATAATGGATTGCATATTTTGATACACATTGGGACTATTCTCTAATTAAAGGTAAAAAATAAGTGTTATTAACAAAATTAAAAGCACAGCAGTCATGGTTGCACAAGCTATGCTTGCACTGCTTGCCATGTAAATGAGCCCTTAGAAACTATTTGGGTCTCACTCTGTCTCTCTAGTGTGCGACCTACATATATTGTTTCCTGCAGATACTGCTGCTTGGAAACATTACTCAAATGCAATTTTAAAATAAACCATGTTTGCTGCGGGGACCCATTTAATGTCCTTTAAATCACCTGCTTGTAAAGATTTCCCAGATTACCCCAGTATCACCATTATTTAGCAAAGTAATTACTCTGTACTCAATTTACTTAGCAATTACACAACCAATTAAATATTTGTCTACATAATATACTCTTTGGCAAATGATTTAATTAGCACTGAATGCTGAGAAATGGCTGTTAAGCAGCAGACATTACACTATAAAAGCAGAGATCACTTATGTTGCCTTATGACAATTAATAATAACTTCATGCATTAAATCAAAGCCAAGCATTTTCCCTCTTGCCTTTGGAAATGAGAACTTTGCATTAGATAACCCGGTGTAGAAATACAGAAGTAGGACGCTGATTTGTAGTAGTAATACATTCACTGGTCTACAGCAGGCTTGAATGAGAGAGCAAGATTATGGGCTGCTTTACGTCTGGACTAACATTGTTGCAACATCCCCTTCTTGTCTCTGAGGAGAAATCTATTGAACTGAGAAGTGGGCCATGAGGAAAGGGAACCTGGCTACCTTTGAAAGGGTGTCCTCAATCAAAGTGGAGAGGTTAATCATGATAAAAGCCTTCTTGCTTTTTACGCTTCTTTATAGCAGCTCAAGCAGTGTTAACTAATGACTTTCTCCACAGACAGCTCAGCTCCAAGATTTCCATTCTGTGCGTAACCAAGCAATGGACATGATCACAAGAGCCTTTGCTTTGCTGGACAATGAATTTCAAAAGCTCGACGTGTAGGTATTATTTAGTGTTATTGGAACTGCCATTTGATCTAATGGTTCACTAGGAGACCAGGATTGGCATATGTTAGGCAGAAAGCTATCAAATGCTTGTTCCTGGCAATAACTCTGGGTGACAGTCCTCACTATTTAACTATGTAGGGGAATCTCCCTGCATCTGATATTTCACCTCATATAGATAATACATTTCTTCAGATTCTCAATACATTTGAAACATAGGTGAGGTGCATATTACTGGTGATACTACTTCTGATCCAATTTACAATAATAATAATGTAGGCAGAAATTGATTTATACAGAAACCGCCTTCAGGCAGAATGAAAAGACAGCTAATTCTTGGATACAGAGGAGCTTCCTCCACCTGAGGAAGATGCCTCTTCCAAAGGTTGGTGGGTGGGCACGCAGTTCAAAAATTAAAGATTATTCCATGACTAATGTTCTCTTGGGGTCGTGGTGGTGCTGCGGGCTAAACCGCAGAAGCCTGTGCTGCAGGGGCAGAAGACCAGCAGTCGTAAGATCGAATCCACGCGACGGAGTGAGCTCTCGTTGCTTGTCCCAGCTCCCGCCAACCTCGCGGTTCGAAAGCATGCGAATGCAAGTAGATAAATAGGGACCACCTCGGTGGGAAGGTAACAGCGTTCCGTGTCTAAGTCGCACTGGCCATGTGACCACGGAAGATTGTCTTCGGACAAAACACTGGCTCTATGGGTTGGAAACGGGGATGAGCACCGCCCCCTAGAGTCGAACACGACTGGACAAAAATTGTCAAGGGGATCCTTTACCTTAATGTTCTCTTAGAGTAAAAAAAAATCTACAACTGTAAGAGTGTGAAATAAAAATATAAATTCTAAGGCAGAATAAAACCACCAACAGCACAAATCAAGTCTTATTGTTCATCAGAATGAGAATCCTTCTTGGGGTGCATTGTCAAAAGAAACTGAAGTTGGTTTTGCTCTCTGCCCCCAACATGTGGGCTGCAGCCTTATGAGGCTGTATGCTCATTGTCCTCTGTAGCCTCACAGGAGTGCAATTCCCAGGGGGCCCTCTAAGGAAGATTTTTGGAGGTGTTACAGATCTATTAGAGCATGCCTGAATTTTTCAGAGCCACTGTTGCCTTAATGAGGAGTTGTTTAAAAGCCGTATATGTGAGCAGAAAAAGGGAAATGTTCAGGATCAAATCTTTATAAAATAAAAGTTGCTGTGTTCGGTTACTGTTTTAATTTCTAAGCATGGCATGGTATGTAGCATGCAAGTCTTTTCATCAATACGTGTTCTGTGAAGCCTGAACATTCAATTACAGTTAATACATTTTTACATGTTTCATTTGGTTGTTCACTCTCAACCAGAGAGAGGCATCGTCTTTTGCTTTTCTTTTACAAGGGTAAGAGGAGATATGTCTTCAATACATTGAGAGAGCTCTATATTCATTGTGAGCCACAGTGCTCTTATGCAGTGTGTAGTGTCTGCCACCTTGTCTGGTGAATTATACCATGTTGTGCCACAATAACTGCACAATCAAAGAAGAAACTGTGGGCTCCAATATCAGCCCAACAGATTCTTATTTGTATATAGTTCCATCTTTATATGTCCCTATCAAGATATTTTAGGTGCTCCAATTCTGTGCCCAAGTTCCAGGTAAGTCTTTTAATCCATAACTAGGATCTCCTTAGTTCCTCCTGCTGCAGCAAAGGCCCATTGTCTAAGCCACTGGACTCTTCTGGAGCTTGTACAAGGGGGCATTTGTGAACTATTGTGCAAACAGATGCCCAATTCCTTTGTACAAGATTATCTCAGTTGTGCAGGCAGTGTTATGCCCTCATTACCAACAGGATACTGGCATGTGTTTTTACTTCAAAAAACACAGAGATAAATCTGACTTTTGACTTTCTTATATGGCTCATTCTCAGGGCGAAAGCTGAATTAACCCAGGCAACAATGATTTTCCAACTTGAAAAGGAGCAGTACAGCATACATTTTAAAAAGCAACGGAAGGTAAGCGGGTTTCTGTTCTTTTTACCTGGCACAGCTTAACTGCTGTCTTGACTTCATTTGTCAGTTATGATTGGTTGTAACATCACTGGAGCATACGAGACCAGAGTTCTAATTTAAATGTTTCACTGTTTACAGAGTCAAAATAAACATTAAGAAAAATGTGGATTCTCTGTAGTTAACTCATCTTAGCCTGAGAAAGAGACATCCTCAAAGATATATTCCTCAGCAATCAGATTAGTATATCAAGTGCAGGTCTGCCTTCCAATAAGCACAGGAAGTTACACACTAAAATGCAAAGTGTAGAATGAGGAAAAGCATGTGCTAGGATGAGGGAATACAGCTTCTAAATACATGTTAGGCTTGCTACCCAATTTTGCTTCTCCATATTGGTTGATATCCTTAAGAGTATGGCTACAAAAACTGCTTATAAAGATGGGTTTTCTTTAAATCAGGAGCTACAAGAGATGCTGGAAAAACACAAGGCCCAAAATGAAGCATGGCTCAGTGCCAGAGCAGAAGAAAATGACAAGGAAAGGAAAGAACTCTACAAACTGAGGGTAAATATTTACAATATTAGGATAGCATGGACAGTGACTAGGAAATGTCACATTGTTTCCCTATGCCATAACCATGAAATTGAACATGTTCCAGGAGCCCATTTTCTGCCCTAGATACTCCAGGGAGCTACATCAACCACAAATAGAATAGTTAGGACAGCATGCAACATGTTTGTTTTTCTTTTCAGAATTGTAGGATAGATAACATACATGCTAGTCTTAGTGTAGTATCTGCTGTGCGTGTTATGTGTCATCAAGTTGCTAGTAGGGTTTTTAAGGTTTGTGAGATACTTAAGGAGTGGTTTGAGCAGTGCCACCCTCTCATGAGTTTCTGCAGATCTGAACTCAGGTTCTTCCAAGTCATAGTCCATCAATCTGTTCACTGACTACACCACACTGGCTGAGGTTAAGTAAAAAAAATCTTTTGCTTCCAGAACTTATCATTTGTTTACTGTCAGTGACTATAGAACAGGCCACGTAGTATCCATTTATCCCACTGAATAGTAATTGGCTCACTTCCATTTTGTTTTGCTACCCTGAAGCCATTTCTTATTTATTGGTCTCTGGGCGGCTTACAACAATTAAAATTTAATTAAAATACAATAAAAGATAAAATGATTAAAATACAATTAAAATTGCCATCAGGACCCACAGTTGATGTTATTTCAATTAAATGAGAAGGACGATATATATATACATTGTATACAGTGGATTTCCACTGTATATATATATTGTATACAGTGGATTTCCACTGTATACAATAAATTCCTATGTGGTGGGAAGGACGATATATATTCCACTGTATACAATAAATTCCTATGTGGCAAAATACTTCTCTGCTCACCGAAGAGTACAACGCTGGTGCCAGTATCATCCCGTATCCAATCCAGGGATAGGCAAAGTACTGTACAGCCTTTGAAATGCAGTTATGCTACACTTGTCATCATCCCTAGTCAGCACAGTCAGTTATGAGGATTTGGAATTACAGCCCAACCAACAACAACTGAGGGCTACATTTTACCCATCCTGGGTTTAAGCTCTAAAGGCCAAATTAAAGTGAAGTGAGCAAGCAAATGAAAAAAAAAAGATATACTGAACAAAGTTTTGTCATGGGACTACAACTGTTAGCATCCCTGTTGTGGGACTACAACTCCTAGCATCCCTAGCAGCAAGTTCACTGGCCTTGCTGGGTAGGGCTGATGGAAACTGTAGTCCAAAAACTGTGATCAATCCATCCACTCTAGTCCATTAATTTCTACATGGAAGGCCATGTTCTCCTCCCATGTTAAACCTGTGGGTTTCAGTGAGGTAAGGCTGGAGACAGGAAGGACTTCCCCTACACACTCAGCCTCACATAAAGAATACATTCCACCTCTTTATGTGTGAACAGTGCTTAACATATGCATGATGCAATGAGTCCCATCTCAAGAATATCCCTGTTTCTTGTTGCAGTTTTGAATTTTGGTTACATTCCTCTTGCTGCCTGGCAGAAATTCACACAGCAGAATTAGCTTTAAGTTTCTCTAATCAGTCCACCTCTGTCTCTCATTACCTGGCACTTACAATCTAAATAACTCACTCTGAGACATCAGTAAGATAAAGAATAAAAAGTTTCATTTATTTACATTTGAACAGATTGAACAGCAAACTGACAAACATGGCTGAATGGCTTTCAGCAAAGGCCTCGACAGACTGATGTCTGTGCTTCCAACAGACTCTTGAGAGGGAAAAAGCACTGAGCAGAGAGGAAGGGCTCTATTTGAATTCAGAGGAATGATTGGTTGGTGCTGGATAGATTGACAGTCACCCTGGCCTAGAAAGGTCCCAGCCGAACCTTCTAAAGCAGTGGTTCTTAACCTTTAAATTCCGACACTTCTCACAGCTCAAATATTTTGATGTGCTGCAAGCAACCCTATTTAGTCTGCCTGCCTAAAACAACAACAAAAAGAAGGAAAAAAACTCTCCACCCACTTTTGGGAAGAGGATTTTTATTTATTTATTTATTTATTTATTTGTAAGTGGCGCTCTCTGTGTGTGTGTGTGTGTGTGTGTGATCCTATGTAGCATGCAAAGAGGATTTTTATTTATTTATTTATTTGTAAGTGGTGCTCTGTGTGTGTGTAGTATCCTATATAGCATGCATGTGTGTGTGTGTGTGTGTGTGTGTGTGTGTGTGTGTGTGTGTGTGTGTGTGTGTGTGTGTGTGTGTAGGATGTTCTTTGCATACTATATAGGATGCTACACACACACACACATATGCATTTATATGCATATATATCCATCCTGAAGCATCACTGAACGGTGAGTATTTGGCCCATTTGGAACGCATTAAACGATGTTTAATGCGTTCCAATGGAAATCCCTGCCCCGTTCAGCGATGCTTCAGCATAGCGAAGGTTAATCCGGAACGGATTAACCTCGCTATGTGAGGCACCACTGTATATGCATATGAATGATCCTACCTACACACACAAAAATTAAAAGCCCTGACAGGGACACAGAAAGGCACAGATAGGAACACCCTGGAGAAAGGCTGGTTCCCTCTAGCAATTACATAGTGTGATTGCTGTAAAAAGGGAGCAAACAAACATTCCCCTGCAGTGGACAAAACAATGGGATAAATGCCTGATTGCACCCTAAGTGTGTATTGTGGCTATTGGGAAAACCTTCTAAAATGGGTAAAATTCCTGCCATGAGCAATGCATAAAAGAAGTAACTCCGAATGCTTGTTCTTTTCACATACAGCAGAGCTGCTCTGCTACCCAAATTAGTAGAGAAACCTGTGCCGGCAAAAACTCAAGGTGCTCTTTAGTGGACACAGCCAGCTTTACTTAGGTGCCACCAGTCCTATTTCCCCTCTCATCGCATTAGTTTTACTGCATCCAGGGATGAGCTGCAGGAGAATGGCATCTCTAATCCATGCAATGATTACTTTTCTGGTATTTGGATGCATTTTCATAATGTTGAAGTTCCATTCTCAGCCACTGCAATTTAAGGTCAATGGCAATAGTTGTTGTTTTGAGATTTTATCATATCAAGTTACCTAATATTACCTCATACAGTATTCGGTATAATTGGCAAAATAGGCAGAATACCCCTTTCCTCCTGCCAAGATAAAAACAGCACCAAGAAGCCCACTTCGGCTTCAAAATGTAGACCACTCATATGGGTCCCATTTTTCTTTGTCTTTGTGCTATGAAATGATCCCCAAACAAATGCAGTGATGATTCATGTATTGCTAGTTCTGACTCACTGCGTTAAAATTGTTTTTAGAGAATGTAATTTGGTGCAGCCAGGAGCTTCCTGGTCTCTCTCCCCTCCCCTGTGTCCATCATGTGTGTGAGAAAGAGAGAGAGAGAGAGACTGGGGCAGAGTTTTTGGCTTTTTCTTTACTGCCAAGAGTTTCAGGTTAACTATTTGTTTTGGTCAAAGCAATAAACATTATCTGTATCTCTACAGACAGACCCATTCTTATCAGTGATTTCAGTTTAATAATTCCTGTTTTGAGAATTCAGTTGTAAAACATAAGACGCAAACAAAACAAAACTTCTTATATCTTTTACTGTTTAACCTATTTCAATAAGAACAGTATATTGGGCAGGATGTTTTGCTTTGTTTTTTGAATTTACAATGCTCTGCACTTCATTTCTTTGGTTCATTCGAAACAAAGTACCGTATGTAATTTAACACTACATAACAAGCTTTCTGCATTTTATTACATTCCCACCCACCAAATTGAAATGTCCATAGTGAGCCTCTGCTGACTTATCTGAAAGTAAGCCTGCTTGAATATATGCATAAATCAAGAGTATATACTTCCAGATCTAAGAGAGAATTATTCTTTTTCCTTGTGGATATGAGGTAACACATTAGTTTGTCCCTGGCATGCTCACAGTAGGTAAAAACATTGACAATATGCTCTCTTTCTCCTCTTAGTGCCATCATAAACCTGTGCCACAATTTGGCCAAGCAAGTCCTACTTAGCATGCATTGTGATTTCATCAGGCATTTCTTGGTACAGTGACAAATAAACAACCTATCTGACAACATGCTCTTATGTGCCCTAAGACATGCTAAGCATGTCTAACTGTAATTACCATTGAATACAATGGGATTTACTCTCCAGTAAACACATGGGATCAGGCTGCAAACTTCCCTTTTGGACATTTTTGAAAGGTCATAAAATAATTAGGAAACTGGCAAAGGCATATATATATCAACCATGATATTTTGCAGAGGTTAATTATACTCTGAGATGGACGTGCATATTCAGCAACAGAAGAAATCCTAGTCATGGAATCACTGCCTTTCACTCAGACCTGTTTCCTGTAGTTTAATCCAAGCAGTTCATATCACAACAGACCAGCACCAGTAAGAAGAGGCAAACAAGGTGCATCTCAAAAGGAAAAAAAAACTGCTTGGTGAAATCCATCTTGCCATGAACAATTGGACTTTTAGTACTTTGTGTCTTGAAGAAGTGGGATTTATCCATGAAAGCTAATATATTGTACGTTGTTGTTGTTATTGTTGTTGTTGTTGTTGTTGTTGTTGTTGTTGTTGTTGTTGTTGTTGTTACTACTACTGGTCTATAAAAGTACTGCCTACTCTTGCATTTGAATTTTGTATCGTATACCACACCGTCTTCCCCCTTTTTATTTAAATGAGTTCAGTAGACTCCTGTACATAGTTCGCTTGTGCCATATGGGCTCTGCACAGGAGCAAGAATCTAGGGTTTCCATGATTCTTGCTCCTCTCTAGAGGCTACACACTATCAGGAACCTCTCTTGAAATTAACTTCTGTTTGGAAGGAAGAACAAAGCAAGGGAAGAGGTACAGTAGCTTCTCCCTTGTAACTTTGCTCATCATTCCAAATCACAAAACAACTGAATATGCCCCCTCAGAATCCCAGAATCCAGATTCATCTAATTAAGAGTAATGGTACAGTTTCAGGACAGGTAAGATTGAGGTATTTCTTCACATAGTGCATAGTTAAGCTGTGCAATTTTCCACATCAAGTTGCAGTGATGGGCATGGATTTGAACTGCTTTAACAAGGAACAAAACAAATAAATATGGCTATACTGTAGTATCAATTACTATGATTAATAGTATCAATTACTATTAGTCATGATAGCTATATTATATGTTACCTTCAGACAGGCCAAGTGTTTCTTAATATTAGCTGCCAGAGAGCATAAGCAAGAAAGTAGTGTTGTAATGTCCTCCTTGTGGGTTTCATAAGGGCATTTGGTTGGCCACTGTGTTAGACCAGGTAGATGCTTGGTCTGGCCCAGTATAAATTTTGTAGTCCTCTATTTTTTGCAGTTTTGAATTTCTGGTAAAGTTCTCCCTTTTGGTACATAGTAGAAGTACAGAGATCCACAGAGGAGAATAGCTATAAATTCCCCAGAGTCCACCACTTTTTCATTAACTGACACTTAAAGTCTCAATAACGCATTCTGAGACATCTATAGGAGAAAGAGTAAAACAACTTCTTTACTTACTTTTATTTGAAATTATAGATGTGTATACTGCTTTTTTTTAACTACACACATACTAGTAATCAACCAAACAAATCAACTGTAACAAACAACTGCCACCAACGGATGAAAGAGGCAGGGCTCTCTTTGAATTTCAAAAACTGGAAGGAATGATCGGTTAGTACTGGATAGATAACCTCCCTAACTCAGAAAAGTCCCTTCCAGTCACTCAAACGACAAACAGCATGTAAGGTTATGAATAAAACCACAACACTATTTCCCTTCTATTTAGATTATTTCATGTAGTGTTTATCGTTCCCAGTAAGACTTCAAGAAGCCATGTAGCCTAAAGGATGGAGTGTCAGAATAAGATTCAGGAGACCTGGGTTCAAGTCTCTGACTGTGGAAGCTTTTTGAGAGGGGACAATAGCCGTCCTTGAACATTTCACATACCTTCAGAAACCCTGTTAGGGTCTTAGGTCAGGAGCAACCTGACAGCACATAGCAATACCAGTAAAAAATTTCCCTTGACAGAGATACAGATTTTGGTTTTACAATGATAGTTTGCTCATCAAAGAGAGATGAATAAAGAAAGCATATGCTTAGGCTCTTAGGTAAGCCCTGGGTTGAATCTGAAGAAGACACACGTATGTTTTGTAGCTCTTTCCTGTGACTTATGAAGTATACATAAACTTTTCTTCTTCTTTTTTGGTCACAGGAGGAAATTCTCCATGACCAGGAAAGGCTGAGAGATGAACAGCAAAGCATTCACCAACGCAATCAGCAGCTCTTTTCTATAATGCAGCAGTTCAAAGGAATGTGAGCAGTTTGCTGAACAAAGCCTGATCACATGCTCCCGATCACAGCAACAACATAGCGCCACCTGAACCACTGAGCTCTTATGTCTAGTGTAACAAAGATCCAGTTCCCATACAGACTGCAATCTGATCTCATTAAGTTCAATCCTAGGGCCATGGCACAATTAAATTCCTACCCACTTTTAAAAACATGACATGTCTCCAAGTCAATGTTCTCTTTCCACCCCCCACCCACCCCCAAAAAAGAGAGCCAATAAGTCTCCTGTATTTACATATTTTTTATGCCTGATATGGTAAAATAATGACCAGAAGGAATATAAGTACTCTCTATACACTTGTATGCACTTCAGTGTATATGTTTGTTTTTATAAAAAATAAATGTTTGGAATATTGGATTTTCTTAAGTGGTGAGATTATGAAATTATGAACGAGATTATGGAAACCTCTGCTTCAATCCTAATTTGGTGGCTGTGAATTTTTGAAACTTTGCAATAGTACCCAGAACTAGGGAGAACACATAACTTTAGAAAAATAGGATTGATAAAGGAAGTGCATATAAAGAAATTGTTGCTTTGTAGATGCTTTTCGTATCTCTGATCTCTGTGTATGCATCCTGTTTTCTTTTTCTTTTACATATTTACTTTTCTGATAGAACATTCTTCAGGTTTCCAGTAAAATTCTACAAAGAGTTTCATGTCCCATACAGAGATCTGTACACGACTTGATTTGAAATAATTAAATATGTTCATGATTTAAACATTTTCTTGGAATAACAGAATAGTTCATGCTTTTATATATATATGGAGTTATCAACTTCTAACTGATGTACAACAAAAGAGAAAAGCTAGATTATTTGTTTTTCTATATTATACTATCTTTGAAAATTTTATCCGGTTGTTTTTGGCAGAGTCGCCTTTAAAATCTTTTTTAAAATCAAATATACCTTCGTATATACCAGCAGGTAGTCTGAGGATCAGAATAGCAGCCATCTTATTCCACAGCCATCTTTCCATAGAGAGTGAGAGCATGTCCACACAGGCATTCCCCCCCCCACTTATTTTAGTGCACTGCTGGGTTGGATTGGTCCACTCCTTTTTCCAGCATCCACATGATGAGCTGCCCAATTTGCTTCAATTTGTCCCCAGGGTATTCCAACCCTGTCAGGGGGCTTCTGCTTTTTTGGTGACGGTTGGTGTCCTCTAGTTTAGTCCATTCCAAGTGTGTGCAGTCACTAGGAATGGACTAAAATCGGTCCTTGTAGCTGTCAAAGCTGCCAAGGCTCCTTCCGGTTTGAATTTCTGGTATCATGAAGTGGCTTAATAAAGGAACCACTTCAGGAAGGTCAAATTGAACACATAAGAAAGACACATTATTTCTCTCCTTTTTTCTCCTCTTTTGTCATGGAGGGTTTGTCTATTGTGTACAAAAGAGAGGAGGAAATGACAAACACGACTGGAACGCAATGTGTGTATGGAGAGGGTGTGCATGGATTTGCAGCAGAATGTCAAGCGTTTCTTTTATTTTTACACTTACACAGAGATCCTGCTGGGAAGGTTGCATGCATACATACCCTTTCTTTTTTAAATCTGCTTTGCGCCACTGGAGACATCAGGGTGCTGGTAGAAGATTTCACACACCCTTTCTGTGCATGTCCCACTCCTTTCTCTCCACCTCCCCCTGTACAAACTTGGTACAGTATAACCAAATGGGAGCACAAAAGGCAGGCAGGTGTTTGCATTTGATCGGCTGCTTGTTCTCCCCTTGCATCAACACACATAGTTGCCCACTTTATCTTTATGCCATTAGGATATTTGGAATCTATTAAATGGCATACTGCTCCTCCCCCCTCCCCTTCCTCAAACAACCCTAATTAGACTGCACCAACCTGCACCAAAAAAACCCATGCCCCGAGAGAAACAAGTAGGCCTTATCGAAGTCAAGTTGGTTGTTGCTCATGTTCATTTCCACGACACTACAATTCTCTGCCTGCCTACTCAACGTCCAGTTTGGAGACAAATCCCCAAGGAAATGTTGCTTAGAGGTTGCAACTTCAGTACGCACAGCATTTTACAGACCTTGCTGCCTGACCATACCATTACAATAATCTATGGACTTGAGGTGATTGTTGTTCCTATTTTGCACCAAGGCAGCTTCAAAGGAAGGACAGCCGCTTGCCCAAAATTCTCCAGATGAATGGTTCACTAAGGAAAGGCTGGAACCCTGGTTTTCACCTCTTTCCTTAGTCCTGCTTTCTTGTCACTGGATTATGCTTTTGCTGCTACATATGGTTCTTGCTAGCTTTGAAATCCAGGCATTTGTAATTAGGTATCAATATTTAGAGCCAAGGTACAATAAGGCTAGAATCCTATTATCTTTTACCTGGCAGGCAGGTCTTTGTATTCTAAAGAACTTACAGCTGAATGGACATGCATATAAAAGCACTGTAGGAGTCAGAGGCATATGACACAGAGCACGGCTGGGCACAGGGTAGTTCCTGGACCACATGCAGACTCAAGGAGCCCAAAAGCATCCCCTGCAGTCCTGGGGGAGGGGCAGCTCCCCACAGCCCAAAAATAAACTTGTTTTTTTTTTAATGCTCTTTAATTATAAGGGGAAAAAGAGACCTTGCACCCTCTCTTGAGAGTGGGAGATATTTTTGCCATGTTCTTCTCTCCTTCCAGCACCCCCGGGGAGTCCCATCACCTGTAGATGTTTGTTTTGTTTTTGCTGGTCAATTAAAAATTACTACTAGAAGAGGACTTTTTCCAGATAAAGAGCATTTTAAAAACAAAAATACTTGGGGGGGGTTGAATGGGGAGTAGGGATAGTTCCCCAAGGTTCAATGTGGGACTGTGTTGTCCTCAGATTTAATTCTGGAGGTTGCCATCCTTGGCAAAGAGGGTACTCTTGCTTTGGAGGAGAGTGCATTGCAGACATAGAATTTTCTGAAACAATGGCTGAAATCCAGTAGTAAGTTACAACTAGAGTAGACCTATTGAATTAGTGGAGATCTGGAGAGTCAGCACCTAGGTTAAGCTCTATTGATTCAGAAGGCCTACTGTCATTGTGACTTACTGCTAGATTTTGGCCAATGCATTGAGGAACGTAAAAGCTCAGCAAACATTAACAGTTACAAAAGAAGGAACTTCTGCTCCAGAAGGAATGTCATCACCCTGAAATCTTGGTTTCCCAGGCACCACACCTCCAGACTGGTTGAACCACTTTAAGTTTCTTGCCACAGTACAGCTGGAGAAAAATCAAAAGCACATTCTGCACTACTCACCATAAAAACTGAGGTGCTCTGATTGCTGAAGACTAAGGAGGTTTTGAAAGGCAGAACACTGGTTACAGAAGATATACAACTGAACTTTGAAAAAAAAAACAGTGAAGAATAGAATCTTAGGCTAGAGATTTTTTTTATTTTGCACTTTTTTTTCTTACTGCGATCCACTTTATCAGATGTGTCTGAAAAACTGAACAACAGAACAAGAAACCTCATGCCGAATAAAACGTGCTGAAGCAACAAGACTTTATGTTCTTTTTGGGATAACAAACTAACATGGCTATCCACCTCTGAACATTTCCATTTGGGTTACCTTATTGACTTCAGTAGAGCTATTCCGAGTGATTTTGAGGATAATCAAGTTAAAACTTATAGAAATGAAAAGGAAAAGTTTGACTATAGCACAGATCCTATGTTTGAAAAAAATTAAATGTTGGAAAATTTTTCAGGAGTACAATACAAGATTGTGGGGTTTTCACTCCAGATGTCTACAGAATTCCACCCCAAGCTTTTAGTATGCCATCTGACCAATATTTAATGGTAAGATCTTAAAATGTGGTGAGATCTTATAGCTTGAAGTGCTTTCCTTGAACATATACGAACACCAAATTCCAACTAACCTAAAACCCAGTTGCTACAGCCCTCTAAACTGAACCGACCTTTATTCAGCCACAGTTAGCATCATGCTGTTTAAATCCTGGGAAATCTCAAAATGAAGTCTGCCGGCTAAACTGAAATGTGTTCATATGTTTTTGTTTGTTTGTCTTGCAGGAACAGTTTGACTGGGCATCAGACCATGAGGCGTGTGTTTCTGTCACAAGCATTTAACTGCTGAAGAGTCTGGGTCCCCATGTTCAGCAGTTATTGAATGCTTTTCTTCCATGTTTCTATATGCTCTCCTAACATCAGAGTATGAAACGGAAATTTCTGTGCGCTCTGGATGAATAATTTGCCAGCCTGCCATTTTCATCTTTTCGTGCTTTAAAAAATCGTAGATAGATTAGGAGCTTGCCCACTTAGCTTACTCATTCAGTATCTTGCTTGTGCTCTCCATTGTAGATTGTATTGGACGCCTATATTCATGAGATTTCCACTGATTTTCAACCGGCCCATAACTCTGCAATATTCAACTACATTTATATCTGCTCATATTACAGTAGCTGTATCACACTATCATAGTACTGTTCACACTGTTTAACAGAGGAAAATATTAGATATAGAAAACAGTGAATATTTGTCACACATTTCTATGTTACTGAAAATCTAACATTTCTTGAGGCATCTGCTTGGCTATGGACAGTGTACTGAACTGATCTTGCATGGCAAGAAAATTCCACTGAGGAGGAAGGAACTGCACACACAATAGATCTCATTTCAATAGTTAGCTTGTTCTGTGAGTCATGCTCCTGTTAGTATGGTATCTCGCAATTTACAGTATTTTTATACAATATGGATGGGATAATAAAAACTCAGGGAATGGAACTCAAGTCTCCTGAGAGCAACCGTTGGCTGTGAACTTGCAGGCTGAGGAGCAGGAAACACGGGGTTTAAATGAACAAGTAGTCATTCAAGCTTACATACGCCTCCTTCATTGCTGAGTAGTCATGTTAATAATGTAGCTCTACAGTCCCTCTAGTCCTCCTTAATATCTTTTTCCAGATCCTGTGTTTCTCTGCTTCTACTGGCTGTTGAATGGCATGTATTCTTTGAAGGGTGAACCCTTCTGTTGACTTTGATCATGAGGTTTGTGATGAGCCGCAAGCTGTTTTTGTGAATGACCAGTATGTGCCAGCCCGTTTACAGAAATACATAAACATTACATAAACACGATCAAAGTTTGGATGGAGCCAGAGCACCCCTATCTTCAGCCACGAAAATGAAGCCATGCCTTCTGTGGTTGGTAACCATTTTGGTGGGCACAAATCTATTCTAAGCTCTGGTGTGCCAGATTTCTAGAGGGTGTTGTCAGAAAAGGAACTTTGATGAGCCTGCTCTTTCATTGTTGTTGTGAAAGAACTGTTTTGCAACAGAGGGAGTCCTCAACCATAAAATAAATTTCATACTCAGAACATTTGCTTTGGTAATTAAAATCTCAGCCATGCACCAGAGCAATCCTACCAGGGCAACCACACATGTAGGATAGTTAATGGCTGAAGCCAGGTTAAAACTATGTCCTCTGAGTCTGCCCAATTCATCCATAGCCAAAGACTGTGTCTTAAACTGTGAGGGACTCAGAAGGACTGCAATATTAGGATATAAAAAGAAGAAAAACACACATTTAAGTTAAATATACCCTAATCTGTCCAAGACACAGGAACTTACAAATTTCAGCAGACATCTTCCAAACTGGGTCACAGAAACACAGGTTAATGATCTTGGCCCCATAACCAGGAAAGAAGTGAGAGACCTGAT